TTAAAAGTAAGGGGGGGGGGGAAGGAAGGGGGAAACATCCTGCATGGGCACTGGGCTATCAACTTTTATGTGCTCTATCTTTGACTAGACAGTCTGCGTTGTTTCCTGGTCCTAGTGAGAAATGGGTGGGGGTTTATTTATCAATTGTCATCCCCTCCCCCCACCCCCTTATGTATAAAAAATATCAATGCAACTCAATCAATGTGTAAGGAACACAAACCTATACCATAGAAAAGAGGCAGTAGGAGAGCAAGGACTGGACAATTCAACATAACCTGAGCCTTGGGGGACACAAATCAGCCTTGGTTCAAATTCTGAGAGAACCAGAAGACTCTCTATCCAATGAGCCAGGATCTGGACAATAAAGATGTATCTTATCTTATCTTATCTTATCCCCATCACCCCATCCCTTAAAAAGAACAACTCTACAAACTGCCTGTAATACATCATGTTCACAGTTGACGACGTGAACGTAAACAAACATGAATGGGGCTAAACGACCAAAGAGAAGCATAGACAAAAATTGAAGAAACTGTGGCAATTCCAAAATGTCAGTCGACTAACTACTTATACTTTGAAGAAGAATATTCCTGCTCCAGTTTTAATCTTGAGTCTTGAAATAAAATCACAAAAGGTTGAAAAAAAGTCAAAAGAAAAAAGGAGATGAAAAGTAAGTCACACATGCGCATTCAAAAGTACAAAATGACAAAAATCCGTCGCAAAAAAAGAAGACAAAAGGTTCAACGAGACTTTGCCTTACAGCAAAAACCACGATCAAACAAACAAAAAGTGGTTAGCATGCAGACCCTCACACAAACTCTCACACAGCTGTGCCTGGGTTTAGCCGTCACTCAAAAAAACAAGAGCACCCCCCCAAATAAAACCCCAAGATTAGTGACATAACACGCACATCGTTCCAACAAAATCCTTGAGAAAAAACAATTCCCAGAACAACCTCAAAGACAAAAAGTTAGAGTACACACAGAGGAACTGAAGGCAGGCTCGCCACAATACCCCTCACCCTGCCCACTGCCCAGCCAGAGAGAAAGACAGCAGGCAAAAAGAACCAAGAGCTTATAAACAAAACACAAAAGTCTTGCAGCAAGTAATTCGAAATTAGTACCGGTACTCAAAAAAAATTTAAAATTCCGCATAAATACAAGTTTAAAATAGACAATTGATGAAATAAGTACTGAACAAAACATTTCCACCAAAAGTAGAGATTTGAATTAGGTAATTGAAACATAACTTGAATGAAATGTAATACAGTATACTTGAGTACAGATACGGTAGAAAAAGTAAGATACTGCTGAACTGAATGAAGAAATGAAGACGAATGAAGAAATGAAAGACAGTCCACGTAACGTACAAGAGAGAAATATTCCTGCAATTCGACGCGGGGCCTAAAGCGCTGAAATGTGTACGAGGGTATAAATATATTATTAGTGTGAATACAAAATACAATGATCAGAGGGAAGAGAAAACCTAATAAACAAAGACTCAAGATTAAAACGTACCGTTAAAGTTAAACAACGGGATATTTCGTTACGGAAAGATAAAAAAAAGAAAACTTTGTTAAGGCTGAAACAGCTATGAGACCACTTTTATTCTAATTAAATAATAAATAATAAATAGCATTTGTATAGCGTATATCCCCGCTCAACAACAGGCTCTATGCGCTTTACACTATATTATTACCCCTGCAGACCATAGAACACTCCGAAACATTCTCAGCTTCCCGGGAAGCATACAGTGCAAGCAGCTGATTAAGCGCTCAAACACTAACAAACTGACAAGATCTTTCGCTGTCTATAGCCGGGTACCCATTCCCACCTGG